AGGGAACACAAGGAGAGTGGCAGGCAGAGGGAGAAGCAGGTTTCCCGCCGAGCAGGGAGCCCGATGCGGGGCTCAATCCCAGGCCCCTGGGATCATGACCTGAGCCGAGGGCAGATGCTTACCGACTAAGCCACCCAGGCGCCCCAGCTTGTGTGCCTTTTTTATGGTCCTATCTTCTCCTTCCTATTGGCTTTGTCCCAGATCTAAGTGTGCTTGATAAATCCAGTTCTTACTGATTAACAGAGACTGTTCCTTTCCATAGGGGTCAATCATGGAGAAAGAAGAAGAAGAAAAAAAAAAAGGCAACACGGCCTACTTCTCCCTTGGCCAATTTTATCAGTCAGAATGAGGACTGATACTTATGTGCATGTAAGATGGTCTTGACAGAGAGAAGACACCACTGAGCCACTATGACCACCTTCTAGTATACATTTCCTGCCAATGTACAATTGGAAAATATTTATAGTTGATTATGTGGTACCTCAGTTTTACAGTTTGTAGAACAATGTATTCAGCTGTGGAAATCCTATAATGTTTAACTAATTGTAAATAGTTTTCTCAGTCACTTTTCTGATGATATCAAAACTTTCCAGGGACTATAACTGTCAATAAACAGAAACCCAATAAATACATTCTGAAGTGATGATAGCAAGAGATTTAGAAACTAGGATTGGGTAACAGCTTTGAGGATAAAATGATTGTTTTAGCATTGATCCTACAACAAAGAACATGAAGTCATATGCATTCTGATGTTGACCTTCATATTGGATACAAACCTGGTTGCGTAGAGAGAAGTGCCATCGCTTCGCATTACAGTACAAATTGAGGAGGGGTCACCATTCCCAGAAAGATCCACTATAGCCGTTCCTTTTCTAAAAGTACAAAAAAGGTAACTCTGAAGAAACAGAATAAATTCAGACCTTTAAAAGGACAGTATCTATAACATTATCTTCGGCAAACCAGAAGCTACTTTTTATTACGTAACAATAAGCAGTATAACCAACAATGAAGAAAAACAAGAAGGAATCTAACCATGAATCTATTAAGAGTAGGTAGGTATGATGTAATTAATATTTGGTTATCCTGTCTTTCTAAACTCTGTAGCTACCCTGGATAAGGTACTTAGGTAAGTCTTTAACATTCCCAGTTGAAAAATGAGATTTCAACCGCAGTTTAACCAAGAAACATCATATTCTTCTAATTCAAATTATAGCATTCAATATTGGGCTACTTTTTAACATGCCAAAAAATACTCTTGAGTAATAAACCATGGAATTTTGTTACTGTCTTCCCTGTCTTATCAAAAATTAGAATCTGTATATGGCAATCTAAGAATTTGCCTTAGGGACATTACTGAGGATGTTATGAACCACATTCTCGATGTCTTTCTCATAAAGATGATGAGAGAAAGTACTCTTTGGTACTATGAAAACTGGCACTTCTAAGCCACTGGTTTGCTGCTATATTACAGATGCCTGGGCTCCTATGACTGGTACTATTTTGTTTGGCTGACAGGAAGCTCAAAGCTAAATTAGAAATCTAGCTTAAGTAAGGGAACAGTGTCCCAATATATGACATGCCATTATCATTCCTGATTCCATATTAGTTTTTCTGCCCCTGCTTCCTGATTTCTTCATTTTATTCTCTCAAAAGTTTGTATTATACTTATTTACATAAGGCGCCTTAAATCCATTTTGAACAGGATACGGTTTTTTAAAAAGGCAGGGCTGAGTAAGAAGATGCGAGTTCTATTTCCTTTTTCCAGTTCTATCATTATCAGCTTGTGTGACAGCAGGCTGGTCTTTTGTACTTTCTGTGCTTCAGTTTCTGCACATGTGAAGAGCAAATATTTCTTCCAGCCTTACCAGGATTTTCTCATGGCAGAATACTATATGTAGAAAAGTACTTTGCACAGCAAAAAGAACTACAAAAAATGCCAGGAAGGCTGCACACCACATTCTGTTGTCCTGAGAAACTACACCAATACCAAGTTTTTCAAGGAAGAAATAACTTTACTAAAGAATAGTAACCCAACCGTACACTGTTTTCTGCAGGAGTCCTTTACTGTCCAGCAACTTTAAGACTTCTTGAGATTTTTCACGATAAAATGATTCTCCGGAGTATTCATCAAAGTGTACTCCTAGACGCTAAAAGGGTTCAAAAATAAAGTTACAAGCCAAGATAGGATACTCTACAGTCTGTCACACAGATGGGGAAAAAAAGAATTATATCAAGTCAGTCTTCTGCATCAAACCTTCTAATAACTCCTCCCACACCAGTCAAGTCCTCACAATAGTACTGTGTTGTCCGATACGGCAGTTGCTCAGCCCACGTGGCTATTCAAATTAAATAAAATTGAAAATTTAGTCTCTTAGTAACACTACTCACACTTCAAGTGCTCAACAGCCACCCAAGGCTAGTGGCGACCATGCTGGACAGCACATCACAGAACAGCTCTATCACAGCAAGAAGCCAAACTGGACAGCCCTGGAGAATGTTCCACATCATGCCCCACCCTACAACCTCTTCAAGCTCCTCTCCTTCTGCTCTTCATCCTGCTTCCTTACTCCAGCTGCGTGGATTTCTTTGACAAAACTCTTTTCATTCCACCACAGACAGTATACTCCATCTCCCGTCCCCTGCTTCATTTTTCTCCATAGCATCATTACCACCTGACAGACTGTATGTTCTTGTTGAATTCCCATTGTCTTTAATTTGGTTAATTCGCTCTCTGTCTCCATGCTGGACTGTAAAGTCCATGACAGAAGGACTTATGTTTTCTTTATTCACTGTTGTATTTCTCCCACCCCCTAAAATGGTTATTAAATGAACAAATTTATATGTATCACATACAAGCCTAAGGAAGTGAAAGGGGGAAAAAAACGATTAAGAAAAAGTGAAGGAATGAACAGAAGAGAGAAAAGAGAAGCCAGACTGAAACAAAGAACAGAATGCCACCTGATATTTGCCTGTGAAGTTCATAGGATTTTTTCAAAGCTCTAACTTCCAGCCCAAAGAATAGTATTTGAGTCCTAATTTTCAACTGAATGACCAATCTAGTTTTATTTATTTTTAAAGATTTATTTGAGAGAGAGAATGAGAGAGAGAGAGCACATAACGGGGGAGGGTCAGAGGGAGAAGCAGACTCCCTGCTGAGCAGGAAGCCTGATGTGGGACTCGATCCCAGGACTCCAGGATCATGACCTGAGCCAAAGGCAGTTGCTTAACCAACTGAGTCACCCAGGCACCCACAAATCTAGTTTTAAAACACGAACTTTAGAAGGAAGTTCACAGGGTGCCTGGCTGGCTGTCAGTAGAGCATATGGCTCTTGATCTTAGGGTTGTGCGTTCAAGCCCCATGTTGGGTGTGGAGCCTATTTAAAAAAAAAGAAGCGGAAGAGCACGGGACTCTTGATCTTAGGGTTTTGAGTTTAAGCCCCATGTTGGGTGCAGAGATTACTTAAAATAAAAATCTTAAAAAAAAAAAAAAAAAAAGCAACTTCACTACTCGGTAGTACCGTCAAGAGCTGCACCCCAACACAGGAGAGCAGGAGGGCACCTTGTAAATCCGCACGTATTCTTCTATGCTGAGGTCCCGAAATTTCTGCCACAGTGCAAGTGCTTGCGTGTCACCCAGTTCTAATCGTTGGAAGAACTCATGTGCTGATTTTCCTATATTTTTATCATCTGCTGCTTCTTTATTAACTTGTACATAAACCTAAGAGCACAACAGTACATTAAATGAAGTATATTAGTCATTGTTATCTTCAATGGAAGAAAACAAAACACAATCATGAGATTTTCATTTAAAGGTTAGCCAACTGCCCTTATCAGAGTGTAACTTTTTTTTTTTCCTTTTTTTGCCATGGGCCTTTACTGAACCCGATAGACCCCTTCTCAAAATGTATCTAAATGCATAAAGTAAAATACATATGCCTATAAAGGAAATACATTGAAATAGTTATCCAATTACTTTTTTAAAGTGTGATGAAGTAATGGAAGAAAATGCTAAATTTCTGATAGAGGTCAGGGAAAATGTGTAATTTTTTTCTTCCCTTCCAAGTTCACAGACTCTTAGGTTAAGAATGCCTGGGTTAGATTAAGCTAGCATTTTTTTTTTTTTTTTAACAAAAAGGCAAATTATTATTGCTGCAACTTCTCTGAGAAAAGGTCAAAGAAAGTAGAATGGTTCAATCTGGCTAAGACAAGGCCAAAGACTGATCCAGCAGTTGATTTAAGAAAGATTTTTATTTATTGTTTTTAAAGATTTTATTTATTTATTTGACAGAGACACAGCGAGAGAGGGAACACAAGCAGGGGGAGTGGGAGAGGGAGAAGCAGGCTTCCCGCGGACCGGGGAGCCCGATGCGGGGGCTTGATCCCAGGACCCTGGGATCATGACCTGAGCTGGAGGCAGACGCTTAATGACTGAGCCACCCAGGCGCCCGTAAGAAAGATTTTTAAAACTGTTCTCTAAATCTGCAAAGAACTAGTAAAATAGGTGATCTAGGAAGACCTTTGGATAGCTGGCTTACTTACACTACCACTTAGGCTCCTGAGAACTGTGTGGACCACTTACTTCTGGAGTGTTTTTGCATCATCTGTCCTGGCTAACAGGAATGGAGTTAGACTGCTTATTAAGGGCTCTTCCATTTCTATGATTCTGTGTTCACAATTTCATTAATAGTATTCCAGTCCCCAAAATACAAGGTTAATAAATGATATTGAAACAACAACTTTGCACCTTAAGTAGTACTGAAGTTACGCATATAGACAATAAAGATTTTACTTCTAGGGGCGCCTGGGTGGCTTGGTCAGCTAAGGATCCAACTCTTGATTTTGACTCAGGTATTGGTCTCAGGGTTGTGAGATGGAGCCCTGTGTCAGGCTCTGTGGCGGGTGTGGAGCCTGCTCAAGATTGTCTCTCTCCCTCCCTTTACCTCTCAAAAAAAAAAAAAAAAGAAAAAAAATATTTCACTTACAGGATGAAACATGAATGATAAATTTACTCCCTTGTATTTTTTCCAGAAAGCTATGAAGGCAGCATAAAATAAAAATTGGCAAATAAATTACCAAAGAAATATGAGGCATCTAAACTGTTATAGTAATATCATCAAAATATCAATGGCAGATAAAGTGATTTTACTGCTGGAGAGTACACCGGGACAATTGTAATGTGGCTTATACCCACTAGATACTACCAACAAAAGGAACAGGGCATGAAACATCTATGTCAAGGTCAAAATCATACCTTTCATAGATGGCTTGTGTTAATTACTGGAATGGCAGAACTAAATGAATAAATATTCCCCCCAAAAATTAAAGCTACCAAATTTTATTTTTCCTCTTTAAAGCACATTGTGCAGAAAAGAGTTAATATAGCAGACCTGAGACTGCTATCCTTAAAATGTCCTGTTTGCAAGGTTAGCCCTTGGATGGCATCTGGGAACTTGGATTTGGGAAATGTTCCCACCAACCTGATAGGAGTAGGTTACTGTGCTTAAACTATGAAAACAATACAGTTTATGCTAAATACTTGCTTTCCTTCTGGGAGTTTGGCATTTTGGAACACGCTAAGCAGAGGGTGACTACATGATCAAACTCCAGTAGAAACTTTGGGCATGGAGCAAGTGATGAGCTTCCCTGGCAGACAACATTCATGCATACTATCCCAGTTTGTTGCAGGAGGACCTGCATGTACCGTTGTGACTCCACTAGGATGCCTGGACCTGGTTTCCAACAGACTTCACCACATGTGCCTTTCCCTTTACTGATGTTGCTTTGCATCCTTTTGCTGTAATAAATCATAGCTGAGTACAACTATACGTGGAGTCCTGTGAGTCCTCTTAATGAGTTACCAAACTTGGTGGTGGTCTTTGGAGACCAGACACACGTATCAAAGAAAATTAATTTCCATGTGCTCCTATGAAATAAGTCCAGAATAAGTTAGAAACAGAAGATGATGATTTTGGTAAGGTGTAGGAAAACAGAGAGAGTCACTGTAAGATAGTAGACTGCAGACCTATGACTTTTGAATGACCTATCTATCCGCTGACAACTGCTCAACAGTCCAGCCTATAGGAATAAAGGCATACATAGGTCTCTAAAAGATTTGTGGTTCAAAATCTCTCTCACACACCCAACCACCCACCCACCCATCACACACTCACGTTCACACAACATTTATAAGTAAACATACACAAAATATCCTTATTTTCAGAAAAGGCTTTTTTTTTTTTAATTTAGGACTCTAAACTCAGATAGCCAACATTTAAAAATCTAATTTGCATGTGAACTACTGATAAGAGTATTTTTAGAAAAAAACTTTACCTGAATCTTTTCCCTTTCTTAATACTTAAAATAGAAATAATTAAAACAAAATAAACAAAACCAAACCCTTACTAATACTTGAAGAATCTTGGCATTTCAGCAATTTGTAGTTATAAACCAAACATTACTGAAAATCAACTGACACCATCAAGCAGAACAATAGAAGAGCCTTAATTAGCACTTAACAATCTGCCTGTAAATGCACAACAGAAAACTATAATTATTAACATTCATCACCATTTTAGAAAAGAAATGCATTTTCCTTCACAAAATTTAATACTATGTACTTCTGAAATTATACAGTTTTAAATTTAGTTACCACAAACTTTTTATGCTTAGAAAGTATGCATTTTGAAGACAGCTTCCTTTTGAGGCTAGATCTAGACACAAAAGGAATAAAAAGGAAATTTTAAGTTTGGATTTAATAGTAAGAATGTGGCTTAAGCAAAATGTTCTTGATGGACATATTTTTTCTTTTAGTTACCAGAATGCAAAAGTGAGCTTATTTCCATTACGGAATAAACTAAATGTTTAAGACTTTAAAGGAATATTAACCTTTTCACTATTTCTAGATGCTGGTATTCCCAAAAAGCTCATGACATTTCTAAGATTAAGATAATTACAGTCAGCTCTAGAGATCATCTGTCCATATGTAAAGAAATAAGTGCAAAAAAATAAAGTATATAATGCCCTCTTACTCTCGCTTAATCTCTTAAATTTGATTCTAAAATACCATTAGCAAAATAGACACAGTTTAATTCTTTGGTACAGGGCTCTAACCCCAAACCTGGTTATTTTTGTCTTAAAACAGAGAATAACTGCTAAGAATGGTTAGCATTACTTAGATACTAAAGACATGGTTAACTGTATATTTGTCTTCTATCTTAAAATGCATTAAATTTTGATCTCATGTTTTAGAAAAAACATAATGCATGATTATAATTCAAACAAACAAGCTCATTGTTAGTTTAATGTTGTTTCTTGATCAGAAATTTCTTATAGAACTGCTGGTTGAGATGAATTTCTAATGTTAAACTAAATATTAAAGAAATTCAAATTAATATAGTTATAATTTAAAAGATCAATATATTGGTTAACAATAAAAACTTCCTAGATAAAAAAAACAGAAGTGATTATCAAGTTTCTCCTCATCAGTATATCATTACCACATATAATTAGCATTTTACTGTCTATTCATCTTCTTTCAATAACTGGAATCTATTTTTATTCTATGTTTGTAATAATATCCGTGATACCTTATCCCTTTATTCAAGAGTGATAATGATTAACTTCTTGTATATATTTATTAGATAATAGTACAGTGTTATACGTTTCTCGTGCTGAAAAAAAGCTTTTTGCACATTTCAATGTGTTTGATAATTACTGAGCTATTAAATGTACTCTGGCCTTGCTCAGTATTCCCATCCTTGTTCTAAGAACGCTCAGAGGACAATGGACACTGTAGTAACCCTCAGAAGTGTAAGGTTTAGGTAGAAAGGCTAGTGACTTTGGGGAAGATGGTCAAGAGCAATATAAAGCAGAAAAGCTGCCAAGAGAGAGGAAAGGAGAATTGCCTAGATTGAGGAGGGGATGGGGAAACATTCCCAGGAAAAACAAAAGCTGGGCAGTCGCTGGGGTGGTAGCGGGCCCTCTGAGGGAAATGGTTTGCGGTATCCCCACATAGGGAGGCTGATTTCTAGGCCTATGGAACTGGGCCACAGAAAGATCTCCCACGTGAACTTGGTCATAAAAGCAGAGTTATACGTGCCTCCAGGTCATTATGTAGCCTTGGATACTGGGCACATCAGTCAAGACCAATGTTGCCTGAAGTCAAGGAAAGGCCTCCATACCCATCCTGAGATGCACATTAGAGCCTGGGGAACTCTGTGATTTGGGAGATGAAAAATCCTCAACAATGACTTAAGTTGACTCTTAAAACCACTCTCAAAAGTATGGCTGGGTTCAGATTTAATGAGGCTTATAATTTAAGAGCTATTTCTTGCATATAAGTATTTTAATGAGTAAAATATACACCAACCGCAACAGTCACTTTCTCTGAAGAAAAGTAACATGACCTAACAACTCTTGACTTCAAGTCTTTATAAAATAAAAATTTCTAACTGCATAAATAATCCCATATAGGTCTAGAATTGATTTAGTCTTGAATTATTTTAAGTTTGAGAATTTTTGAGAATCTGAAGCTAGGAAAAACATGGTCTCTTGAGGAATACATACTATTCCACATTTAAAAAAAACAAGAGCAAGTAAATATTGTCATTCATGAATTTGGTGTTTTGATCTTGCCCTATTTTCTACTGGCTTTTTTTTTTGCTGCAGATATAGGGAAACTCAGGGTCAAACTTCTAATATACTGCTACCTAGTAATATATTATCCTCTGACTTTCTATGTCTTTTTATTAAATGCCCATCACTATAATTACCTCAAATCATTTTAGAAAGGGGAAGGGTAAAAATAACAAATGCTTTTGGGGTCATCATTATGAACTTAAGAGAAAATTTATACTATTGTGTTAATATATCATGTTACCTTTATAAATGTTAGTGTTAGGGTACAGTGCTAATGCATACTTTATTGACATAATATTTATCTCTATGAGAGGCTGCTCATATTTTAGAGGCATTTCTATGGTTATCAAAATTCATATTAATAAGCAACATGCAATGAGTCAAGTTCGAAAACCTTCTGTAGCAAAAAAAAAAGGGGGGGCTGGATTATACAGTCTTAAAACAGTGTTAGATGTTATTAAGGTCCATTCAAGTACTTTTTTTTTCCTTTTTTTGAGAGAGAGGGAGGGAGGGAGGGAGAGGGAGAATCTTAAGCAGGCTCCATGCCCAGCACAGAGCCTGATGTGGGGATAGATCTCACAACCCTGAGATCATGACCTGAAATCAAGAGTCAGATGCTTAACCGACTGAGCCACCCAGGTGCCCTGAGGTCCATTTAAGTAGTTTAAACCTAGGAGAAACCCTGAGAAATTACTTTTAAAAATTATCATTAAAACAGGTAAAAAAGTAAATGATGACATCCATATACTCAGGATTTAGATTTAACATTTGTTAACTTTCTACCATAAGAAATTACTTTTTTTAAGTGGAAAAGCTTTTTGATACATGTTCCAAAGCTTATTATGTAGGTTTTCCTTGAACTAATACTGTGAATTCTAAACAGCAAATATATGAGTTATTTAACTTATTAGCTAATTCAGGGAGGACAGACTATTATAAAACCACTTTCTCTGTTTCATGACAACAAAACGGAACAACTAAATAAAAGGTTTTACATGTTGACCAAAAGAAGTCCCAAGTCCACACACAATACAGCCAGACGCCATGGGAAAAGAATGACTATAGGTACATAGAAAAACCAGTAACGAAGCAAAGCAAAAAAAATGGAATGCTGTAGAGAAATGACTGTAGGTATTAAATATTTTCATCACAGAAAGGAAATACTAAAACTATCCGATAATTTCTATATACAGAAACTGAGAAACTGAAACTGGTGGATACTGGTTGTGGTGCCATTCAGAGGGAGGCAGGCCACAAACTGCTACTGGATGGCCAGAGTTGAATTCAACAGATACACTGGAAGGTTGAAACTGCGACAAGTCAACTACCAATTGTGTTCCTGGTACAGCAATTTGAGAATGAAAAAAAGGAAAACGTTATGTAAGTAATTACAACCAATGGAAATGAAGGGCCAGAAAGGCATTCTGTAATGCCAGTGGAGGGCAGGGCAGTGCAGTGAGTGGACTGCTGGTGCTGGAATCCTGGGTCTGGCCCTTGGGTTCTTCATCAGTACACTACATGATGAAGTTTAGATTCTGGGAATGGTAACTAGTGTATCCTACAATAGTTAGTTCTTCCCTGGGGCTATACAACAGGTTTTATATTACATAACTTAATGATTACAGCTTGACGTCTGGAATTGTGATGCCTTTAGCTTTGGTTTTCTTTTTCCACATTCCTTTGGCTATTCAGGGTCTTTTGTGGTTCCACACAAATTTTAGGATTGTTTGTTCCAGTTCTGTGAAAAAAAAGTTGATGGTATTTTGATAGGGATTGTGTACACCGAATGTGTAGGTTGCTCTAGGTAGCATAGACATTTTAACAATATTTGTTCTTCCAATCCATGAGCATGGAACGTTTTTCCATTTCTTTGTGTCTTCCTCAATTTCTTTCATGAGTATTCTATAGTTTTCTGAGTATAGATCCTTTGCCTCTTTGGTTAGATTTATTCCTAGGTATCTAATGGTTTTGGGCGCAACTGTAAATGGGATCAACTCCTTAATTTCTCTTTCTTCTGTCTCATTGTCGATATATAGAAATGCCACTGACTTCTGTGCACTGATTTTATTTCCTGCCACTTTACTGAATTCCTGTATGAGTTCTAGCAGTTTTGGGGTGGGGTCTTCTGGGTTTTCCACATAAAGTATCATGTCACCTGCAAAAAGTGAGAGTTTCACTTCTTCTTTGCCGATTCGGATGCCTTTTCTTTCTTTTTGTTGTCTGATTGCTAAGGCTAGGACTTCTAGTACTATGTTGAACAGCAGTGGTGAGAGTGGACATCCCTGCTGTGTTCCTGACCTTAGGGGAAAAGCTCTGTTTTTCCCCACTGAGGATGATATTTGCTGTGGGTTTTTCATATATGGCTTTTATGATATTGAGGTATGTACCCTCCATCTCTACACTGTGAAGAGTTTAAATGGAAGATAGAGAAAGGGACAAGAAGACCTGTAAGATCAAATTCATTCAAAATTTAACCACAACGCATGCTGTTTGGGGTTGGCAATAAAAGATTAGGAAAACATGGTCCTTCCTCTCAAAAAGCTTACAACTAAGTAAAACTTGACAAGGGAAAAACCAGGGATCCAACCAAAGTACAGGTTTTCTTTTAGGAACAGGCTTAAAATCATTTATTAATATGTGCCTAAAGCTCAAAAAAAAAAACACCAAAATTCCTCATTTATGGTACACGTTTTTGTTCAAAGTAATCCACAATGACAACTATAATTTTAAAATGAAAACTAGGTCTGCAAAAATTAGCACAAAGATAAAATAACCTGGAGGCTGCCACTAGGCTCTGCATTTTTTTTCTGTCCTGCAAAGGAAGGAGGAAGAGAGCCAGTTAGCGCCCTAATGGATTTTTTTCTTTTATTACAAACAGTAAGGTGGGTGTATTTGACTTGCTCTCTTTTGTTTATAAATGCTGCTTCCCTATGAACCTTTTAGGCAAAAGAACACTTATGAAGGCAATGCCACTGTTCCTTGAGGTTTCAGTTATTCACAGAAGTACCCCTGCCCTTGTTCCTTCCTTACATGCATCCATCAATTAACAGCCTCTATATAGATGTATAATCTCCCACTTTTTGAGTCTCAAAAGCCTGGAGATTTGTAGTATGCTGAATAGAAACATACATTTAAGTTTCTATGGAGTTTGAGAACAGACTTTACTAAAATATTTAAAATACTACGAGCAACAAAGACTATTTTCAGGATTAAATAAAACCTTTGAGGTGGGGGTGGGAGAAAGAGGAAAATAGGAACTCTCATATGAAGTTGTACAATAAATTCTTAAAAATGTTCCCCTAATGACATAAGATCTCCGAGCAGGTATTTGCACGTTCTGTGGCATGGGTAGACTCTGTGGGCCCAGAGCTGAAGAAAGGTTCACTAAGCTGTGGTAAAAAAATACTTGCCATTATTCCAAGTTTTAAAAAATAATACAAAAAAATTCCAGGCACTAAGGTGGCATGCTTTACTTACAGACAACCATAAAGAATTATTAATTTTGAAACTCTTGCCTATCAATAAAACTCAATGGAAAAAAAAAAATCTTTTGGTTAATATTCTAAATCAAAATGTAGGCATTTAAAGTGCAGTGCAGGCCTGGACTCGGGAGGAAGTTACAAACCCTTAAAGGTCTTTAAGAATGGCCATGTGATTTTTGTTAAATTTAACTACAAAGCCGCAGGAGAAAAATCACTTATCAAAAAGGAAAATGATGAAGCATTCTTGGTGTAGCGTTGGCTAGAGAAGTAAAGCATTATTTTGCTAAGTGCTCTTCCTCACACACAGGTATTAACAGCTTTAGTCGATCCCCGGTATGGCACCAACACAGCTGATACTGTACTGGTGTTTCTTCTTGTGAGGCCCAGAAACAGCAGAGAACTAGGACGATGAAAAGGAAACACATCCCTGGAGATTAATTGCACAAGAAGACCTTTACTAATGAACTCCAGGAAAGACTGAGGACAGAGAATCAAAGTACCCAAGGACTAAATGAGGCAGAAAAGGAAGGAGTTCACACTGGGCAAAAGCCAGGAAAAGGAGCCAAAAGATAGAAATGAAAAAAAGCACACACAAATTCAGAGTAACACATGTACTTCCCCCACAGTAGAACAAGAGAAAAAAGTATATACTCATGTTTTTCAAGTCTAAATGAATTATAGTTATTGCCATAAAGACAGCTGCAGTTACATAGCAACTGACAAAAAAATTAGAGAAATTTCTGTATTGAATCCTTTATCTCATGTGTTTATTCTAAGACAACTCTATACCTAGAGAAATACTGTCCCAAATCAACTAAAACAGAAATAAAAGAAACACTTGGATAAGAAAACGAAAAGAACTTCCTAGTAAAGTAAAAGCAACATTTTCCAATTTTTTTGGTTCCTTGTTTTAAGGAGTATTTTTTAAAGCCTCTCGGATTAAAAATTAATCCAAGCGGCATAGTACTCTGAAAAAAATAAGTTGAAGCATTTTCTACTATTGTTTCTTGCCAACTTACTTCAAAGAGATGCTGTAGAGGATTGGACTGAAGTTTTTCTTCATAGCCAAAGAGTTGGAAGCCAGTTCCCAGAAGACCTACACAATAATCCGTAAATGAAAAAATTACAAAATGGAACAGTAGAGAATAGTCATGGCAAGGAACAGGTATAGTTATAGCAAAAGATCAAGCTCTCATAATTATGCGTCCTGAGAGTACTGCAAACACATGCTATCATCTTCGGCTACCCCATAAACTCACGTAAGTTAAATTCAATGTACTGAATCACAAATTCACTATATTGGACAGACCACTGCAATTAACTTCTCAGACACCAATAGATTATGAACTCATAAAAAGCAGGGTCTAGGACTAACTTGTTTTTGTGCTAACAGTGCCTAACACTTCCCTAGCAGATGTAATAAAACAAGCATAATAAAACAGCTATCCTGGGGAAGGACAGCATGATGCTAGAAACTGGATGCTTAAAATTTGTGAAAACAAACTGATGGGAAGTGATTTCAGAACTTTCTTTCTAAATTTGTAGGTGTTAAAATAAAACAAAGGTAGAAATTGGCTTGGTATTGTATTAGCTCTTAAACCAATGACTGAAGGAAAACAATAAAAGATGTAAAAGGTAAAACTCAAAACATACCTGATTACCTCTCCCATCCAAGGTGACCAATCAACAAAATTCTTTTTTGTCTGGCTATATACATACATATATATATTTTTAGAAGATTTTATTTATTTATTTGACAGAGAGACAGCAAGAGAGAGAATACAAGCACGGGGAGTGGGAGAGGGAGAGAAGCAGGCTTCCCGCGGAGCAGGGAGCCCAATGTGGGGCTCGATCCCAGGACCCTGGGATCATGACCTGAGCTGAAGGCAGCCACTTAACGCCTGAGCCAGCCAGGCACCCCTATCTGGCCATATATTTGTCTTTTATTTGTCAATGATTTTTTTGTCTTTGATGATAAGTTCAGCATTCAGGGTTAGTGTTAATTTGAACCTTAATTTTTTTTTTTAATACTAATTGAGGTAATAGACTGTGAATACTTATATTCTTAAGATATTCTTGCTAAAAGATGATCACAGTGTTAGTCTGAAAGGATATATGCAGCCTGGGGTCAAGAGCAATAAAAGGTGGTTTAATTATTTTAAAAACCAATCTGTTTCTACAACTATATCAATTACTAAGCTTCAGATCTAAATTGTCAGGGGGACTTGCTGACGAATATTTTTCTATAGAGGTTCAGCAGAAAGTGGGATGCTACTGAATATGAAGATATAAAATATTTTGGTGCTTTAGACAGAACAGAAGGATGACTGAAAAATGTTACCAGCCCTATTCACTTTAAGCAAAAGCAAATGTGATTATGATTCAGGGTCTTGGGAGCAGGATGTGGAAAGATGCCCAGAGTGTCTAAAAAATGGAAATAGGAAAAGTAAAGGCCAATCTCCATTTAACATTCAACCTAATATATTTTCAAAAACTAATTTTGTGCTTAGAAACTATCTGCCAACTTTCCATAGGAGATAGCTGAAACAGCCCAAATTAAAACTCTTCAACAATGATGGTTATAATGGAAATGGTGACAGATCATTAACCATAGCAATCCTTTAGAGAAACATTGCTGTAATAAAATCCTGTAGCTAAAATTAAAGAATACCATAATCACCATATTTGCTAATGCCTGTGAAATGCATAAAGCAGTTAAACTAATGTAAAGTGGATGCCATCTATTAAATCTGACTGTTGAGCCTCGAGCCTAAACCTCTGACTACACCAGCTGTTGTGAACTGCAGGTGGACCTTAAAAATGCAAGGCATGTTTTCTGATTTCCCCCACAATGAATACTAATGGCACTGATAATTGGCTCAAGTTCTACCCTTTTTAGAGTCTAAAAGAGATTTTTATTAACTGAAATGAAAGAGAAGGTCATGATAAATCTGTCTTTTGGAAATTTTGATTTCATTTCACTGGATATGATACAACATAATAATATCAGTGAACTTCAGAACTGGCAGTGCATGCTGCACTTTATAGAAGCCTTAAAATATTATCTAGCCTTTCTTTTGGATTAGTACTATAAAATAACTTCCCAGGACAGATTCATTCATCACTCTTAGTGCTTCTTATGTGCCAAGCACTATGGACACAAAAATAACGAAGACACAGTCCACGCCTTTAGGAACATATCACCTAGCAGGGGAGAGAAGCACACAAAGAAGAACAGACTACAGCAGGCAAATTTGAGTAGAGCTGGATACTAGGAACATCGTGATGGGAGGTGGAGGCAAGGGTCTATCTGTGGGACACTGGGGCTGGATCTTAAAACACACACAGTAGTTGCCAGAGATTTTTAAGGGCTTGCATTTCACATGCTACCAGTACTTCACTACCATAGCAACTTCATTTTATCTTGCCCTTCCTTGATTACCGGTGTATTATGAGCAAGGAACGGTTCCAAGTAAACTCACGACATTAGAGGTAATTTCTGGCATTTAACTGTTTGGGTCTTACTGCTTTCTTCCTCTCTTTTCTTTTTGACCCCCTGACACTGTACAATTTAAGAAGGAGCCAAGTATTCCACTTTCTTTTTCCTCCATGCCACTGTCTCAGGGTGTAACAGATAACCCTCCACGTGATGGCCCAGGGAGGCTGGACTTCACTTGTTCTAAAACTGGCAAGGCTGTAGTTAAGAAGGGTATATATAGCTAGACTTACTGTTTCCTGGTACATTCACTTCTGCATTTGACAAATGTAAGCTTTTTCTTTAATAAAACCGCAAAAACCTGTATTTTTCAGGTATTGCTCTGAATGTGTGAAGTTTTCTCCCTCAAACTTATTTGTGTGGTGAGAATTACTCTAACAAATACAATACAAGCTTTATGCAAAGAGCCATTAGGAAAAAAAAAAGGTAGGAGGCACTAACTCTATCCATTGGATTCTGCCTATAATCTGTCATGATCAAATAACATAATATTAAAAGCAATTAAACTTAACAGTGAAATGAAAGATCAAATCTCAGACTTACTTACCAAACTGCATGCCCCAATCTCCAAGGTAATTTATTCTGGTTACTTGATGTCCTAAAGCTTCTTTGAGATTTGCTATAAAATTTCCTAGTAATCAACAAAATATACGGTTTCTCATTCTTGTTATCCATTTTGGCGTAAGAACCATGTGCTCCTCTATTACCAAAGCATAACACAGAAAAATTTTTTTTGACAAAATTTACCAACTCCATTTTTTTTTTACTAAAATATTCATTATGGTGTTTTCATCTATGTTATGGAAAGGGAGTAGAGAATTATTTTGGGGGCAGTTAGTTATTCCAAAGAATCTCACAATTTTCATAAGAATAGATTTTTCAGCAACGTCAGTGGGAGCTGGGAACACGTTAGAATAACTGCAATTCCAAAGACAGAAAATAATAGAATCTCAGTAACTAATAAGAAATAACCTGGGTATGCCCTAAAGAACCTGAGCCATACTGTTTTTTTTCTCGATAGCTCATTCTTCCTTCTTTCAATCACTGAAGTCCATCTCCTCATGCCTGCTCCCTAAGAGCACACGGTAGTCCAAGAACTTCATCTTCCTATACTGCTGACACTGGTTTGACATTAAACATATGCTCCACTCTCCTAGTGTGCCCTCACCTGCTGCAGAGACTGGAAGCCTAAAAATTACATTTCTCAGAACCTTCTGCAGTTACGGTTTCAGAAGTCATTTATGTTTGGGCATTCAGATACACTTTGCATGAGACTTAGAAGGCCAAAATGAGGTTAAAGGGGATCTATTTCTATTTTTTTCTGACAAGTACAGCTGTGGAGGCTTTTTTTTTTTTTTTGGTGGCATCACTGAGAGTACACAGTGTCCTGTCAGATGACCTCCAAGGGAACTGAAAGGGTATGGGGCTGCCTCTTTTGCTAATATGAATTCTAGAAGGCATCAGAGGACTAAGGGCAGCTTCCTGTGACAGTGGTAGCATGGTTGCCACTGGAAGGCACCGTAGAAAAGGCAGAAGCTCTCTTGATGACCAAGCTCTATGGTATGATTTTGGGAGTCACTTAACGTTACTTAATCCAAAACTTCTTCAGCACTTCCAACAGCTCTGCAAACTATTCAGTATCCTGTAATAAATCTTTGCCTGCTTTTACAAGAGTGGATTTAGTATTCTGCAAATAATCCTTCACCAATATGCATATCTGACTTAAATTACTGCAGCTATTCTTCCAGCTTCCCTACTTCTAGACTTTCCCAGTCTACATAGTTCCAACAGCAACCTTCTTCAGCTGCTACTCAGACTGTATTCTTATTTTTAATTAGCACCTTATCTTGCAAACCAACAAACCTAGGCTTTTGGAATGATTTTGGAAAAGTTACTTTTGGTATATGAGTTTCCATAGACCACAGTTAACAGTGTCTACCAAATAGGGCTGTTGTGAAATTAATTGAGCTAATACATGAAAACATTGAACACGGTAAATGAATTCTCAATATTATCTCTTCCTGGTTCAAAATTTTCCTTAACAACTTTCAAACAACTTTATTACGCTCTGTCCATCATTTATTCACTCCTACGGTTTTGACCTGAGTAGGTAGCTTTTCATATACAGTATATTTTTTATATTCTTTTTAAAATCAAGTCCTGTCATTTCCTCTCTTAAAATGCCCCATGAGATCTTTCCAACAATGACAGGTGACTCCAGTTCAATAATAATCTATGCCACAAATTTCAGGTGGCTCCAATTCTTAAAAGTATTCAAATGACAGGTTATATAATTCTCCTTCAAGCATGCAATAGACAGATTTGCATACCAGAAGACAGACTTGATGAGATAAACTTCAAAGTCTCTTCCAATTCTAACTGCAGGTTTTAAATTGGGCTACTGCATAAATGTCATGTTTTAAATAAATGAAAATCTTAGCATATACGTATACACTGAAGCATTACAACTATCAAGTTATTACAATAGCAATCTTTCTTAGAACAGTCTTATTTCAATTTCCAGTCTTGAATGCTCCAGTTAGTACTCAAGTGATTGAGATTGAGCTTTTTTTAACTGAGATATAATTAATATACAATACCATTTCTTTTTTAAACCAAAGTATATGAACAAAAAACCTGGGGGGATTATTATCATTCCCAAATAACTATTTTCATTTTTGCATCTTTCAGATCTTTTCCATATGCATACATATTTTTAAAAAGTTAAAATTATTAACAAACCTAACAGTTAAAATCGGTTTCTGAATTAATCTTTTGGTTCTGAAACAAACTTTTTTTTACTTCTAAGAAAATTTTTCCCATTTTACATAATATTTCATTAGCATCAAGCTCATAGAAATCTGAACTTTGTTTTTTGTCTTACTGTTATTAAGCATTAAACCATTAGAATGCATTATAAAATACTGCCCCAAAGTCATATTTAGTATTTTCTGTGAAACTAATGACACTTACCTATGATGGTAGAACGCAAATGGCCAACGTGAAATTTTTTGGCAACGTTAGGTGAACTGCAAATAATTGCAAAAGTTTATTTCTGTTCTAAGAACAAGAGTTCTAAAATGAATTAGGTCATGCCTCTACAGTTTAACACAGCTGGGGATTAAGGCCTTTGGTAATTTAGGACACACATAAATGAAAAATTAGAAAATTTAGAGCAAAGATAAATTAGAACTCAGAAAGAATCATCCTTAGTGAAATTGATCCTGTCACTCATGTGGTAGTACCATACACAGAAATAGCACACTTAGGAAGCAGATACATTTAAGGATTGATAAAAAGGATGAAGAAATTCAGAGATACTGTTTTGACACAAAAACAATGCAGATTATTGGGAATTAAATTTCATGTACCAGTTGTAAACCCTTTATCCTCTTAAAAATTACTGACTCCAAAGAAATTTTGTTTATATGGGTATTATCTATCAAAAGTTGTAATCAATAATTTAACGATAGCAAATGTTTCTAGAGGACTCATTACCTGACAGGCACAGTTTCATGCACTTTACATGCATTAACCCATTTAATACTCGTAAGAGTTGTGAGCTAAGATACTCTTCATCTCTTACTTTACAGATGAGGGAATTGAGGCAACAAGGAAAAAGGATAATGAAGCAAATGTGGCAATATCTTGATGACTCTTGAATCTGGGTGAGAAGGATATGGGACTTAATTATACTGATGTGTTTTGTGTATGTTTGAAAATTTCACAAGTTTCTCAATATTAAAAAAAATAAATTAGCTTGAACACAGTTGGATAAAAGTGGTAAAATGAGAGCTTAATTTTGATCTGTTTCTAAAATCTTATATAAAGGATATTACAATTTAAATACTTGATTCTATATTAATATGCGCACAATTGTGAAATTATGACACTACAAGAATGTTCATTTAATTATTATTTAGAAAGAAAGCAAATGTCCTTCAATAGGTTAAAAAATAAGGAATCTTCCACTTCCCACCAAGACAGATTAACAAGGACTGGACTTACCCTTCTGCCTTAAGAACCATAAAACCAGAAAAATATATGAAACACTAGTTTTATAAATAGGACAGTGAAGGACTGTGATCCCTGACAGAATGAGAGCAAACAAGTTGACCCCTAGCAAATTAAATAGCAAATTTGTGAGCTAAAGCAGAGAAATCTACAGCATGGAATGTTTGTATTAGAAAAGAAGAAAGGTTTTAACCAGTAAGTAACCTAAGGTTCTCCTTTAAGAAACTAGAAGAGGACCAAAGTAAGCAGAATAAAGTTGATTTTATTTATTTTAATTTATTCATGGTAACAGATGTTTTTATTTAAATTCAATTAGCCAACATATAGTACATCAGTCTCAGATGTAGTGTTCAACAATATATGTTGTGTATAACACCCAGTGCTCATTACCTCACATGCCCTCCTTAATGCCCATCACCCAATTACCCCACCCTCCCCCCCTACCCCCCCACCTACCCGCCCTCCAGCAACCCTGTTTCCTATAGTTAAGAGTCTCTCATGGTTTTTCTCCCTCTCTGATGACTTCCCATTCAGTTTTCCCTCCCTTCCCCTATGATCCTCTATGCTGTTTCCTATAAAGTTGATTTTTTAAAAAATAACAATACTATGAAATAAAAATAATAAGCCAGCTGGAGAGACACTGGGGAGAGAGAGAGAGATGCCTAGCCAGCCTTCAGATAAGCTGCCAGACAAATAAATGAGTCACCTGGATTTCTAGCCCCAGTACAGTCCCTAGATGACCAGAGCTACACATGATAACATGCAAGTCAAAGAACCACTGAGCTAAGCCATCCCTGATTTCGTGATCTACGGAGTCATGAACATTAAAATGGTTGTTTCAAGACACTAATCATGAGTTGACACACTTTTCCTTAAAGAATCAGACAGTAAATATTTTGACTTACAGGCCACCTGATCTTGATCTCAACTATTCCATTCAATTCTACTCAGCTGCCATTGTAGTATGAAAGCAGCCACTGTAGACAACATGTAAATGAAGTGTCAAGCCTATGTTCCAATAAAACTTTATTTACAAAAACATGTGGCAGCTTGGATTTTGTCCACGGGCTGAACTTTGCCAATTCATATATTAAATTTTAGAGTAGCTTGCTACACAACTTTCTTTGAGGGAAAATGGCAGGCAACTTTGAGAGATGGCTTTAGTGCAATTCCTCCCTGGTGTGAAGATGACCTCATGAAGACCCTCTCCTGTGATACAACTAATGTTTAAACTCAACTTAAAACATCATGATTGGGGTGTACTGGTAGTATGAGATTTATTCAATAACATTTGTTTACTCCACAGGTGCATGAGTTTACTCACCAATCAGTCCTTATAAACAAACAAGTTTACTGAATCTCAGAGAGTGTCTTTTTTAAGAGTTGCAGAGACCGTGTAAGTGTGGAATCCATAAAACATACTCTTGCCTCTGGTTATCTAGGTTAACTAAGTTTGTTACCATAATGAATTATATATTAAAGAATTAGGAAACTCAAATAATTCCCTCATCCATTTTTTAAAATTCTCCACAGGAATATATAGTTAAGAAAACAAAAGGATATAGCAAGTTCTAACTTTCCAAGTGGGAAAACAGTTCATCAAGACTCTTTCACTTTTAGGAAGGTAAATACAATGAAATACAGTATCTCTGATCTTTTCCATGAGCTGTCAACTGGTCAACTATACTCTGAAAGTGTTCCCTTTCTGTTTTGGTTACCTAAAAACAGTTCAAAAAATTAGATGGATGCACTGACAGCACATCAGAAAGTTATTATGAGGATTATTTAGAGGCATACTAAAACTTCACACTAGTTTTCTGGTAATTTTAAAAAATATACATTATAAATACTTACAAGGCTTTGTTCTCTGGTTATCACATTACTTTAAAATTCTTAATATGGTAGTAACCATTACCTCGGCTTTAAGAGTCTACTAAAATGGAAGGACTATTTCTTCTAAAAAAAAAAAAAGTTAACTATTGAATACTTAATTAAAAAAAAACCCATACTCACCAGACTTTTCTTATTGGAGTCCAAAATTTTTATTCATGGCACAGTGATCAATTCACTGTAATACTAAGAAAATAATAAACTGGTTTTCTATTTTTCCATTTGTAATTTCCTGAGGCCCCAGATGATAATGGTAAAACACTTACCTGCCCAGCTACCTTGATTAAACAACACCTAAGATGAGCAAGCACTCACCTGAATTCAACCACAATCTTCTTCTGGGGAAGACCAGAGAAAAGCTCACTTTTTAATCCATATTTTGAGCCATCGTTGATTACCTGTTGTAGTACCGTCTGAAAAGTAAAAGGAATGGAATTTAATGACAGGAAAAAAAATTATAATTTTCTTAATTACTTCGTTTACTCATTCTAATTTACAGAACTGAGAATTTCACAGCATTGTCAGCACCCACCACCTTCTGTTGCTAATGCTAGTCAGAACACTAATGACCACAACTAATATCTCTGGGGGCTCTGTGCCCTTCTTATACATCACATATATTCATTCATCCAGGAACCAATGATACAGATATTTTACAGATAAAGAAACTGAATTTTAGAGAGGTTAAATAACTGCCGAAAGACCCACAGTAAATAGTAACACCAAAACCAGAAGGAGCATCTAATATGTACTGAATGTGTACTATGTGCTGGGCACTGTTCTGAGCATCTCCTATGTTAACTCATTTAATCCTCACAACAACCCTAGGAGATAAGTATTATTTTTAAAAATGAGGAAAGAGAAGCACAGGGAAGTTAAATAACTTTCCCACGGTCACACTATCAGGTCATGTAGCAAAACCTTTTTCACTCCATTGCTAATGTGTTAACTACTGCATGCTGCTGTTACTTTTACAATACTAAGGATCACAAGAAACGGTAAAAAACAAATACAAAACTGTTATTCAAACGCCTACTGGCTACATAAGAAACGAGGAAACCTCACAGAAACAACCGAAACATATTCCAGGTTCATTTTTAGAAATGTACACAGAACTATTATATGGTTCATAAAATTCATACTTTGTTTTTTGCTAATGGTGTGATGCATTTATTTATAAACGTATTTATTTTTTAGTGTAGGGGTTTGAATTTACTGTGATAGGCTATTTACTCTTATATTGGTTTTGCTTCACAAACTGGATTCTGAGTCCTAAATACGTAGTTTACGATGTGAAGGATTTTACCATCACAAGAGTTGGTTAAGATGGTCACTTAATGGAAAAGGCACACAAAGCAGCAGGAGGGAGCAAAGCAATACTTTTAAGAAGCATCTACAAAATGCTAGGTTAAAGTCCAGATGCTTTTATCTTTAAGCCTCCCAAACTTAAAAATGGACATTTCCCATTTAATAGATGCAAAAACTAAGGTTCAGAAACAGCATGTATTTGCACAAGGACACAGAAGAAATAGTTATTTTCAAACATCAGCTTAGCTGGTCACTACTCTTCTCCTTGCACTCCTCCCTCCTTGGCTGTTACGATACCATGCTCTACTGACTCTTGCTTCTCGGTTTCCTCTGCAGGCTCCTCTTCCACTGCCCGCCATCCCACTCCCTATCCCTTTCTTGCTTCTAGCTCCTCACTTCATACTTCTCCTAGGTATAAAGTCCTAAGACTTCAACTACTACTTACCTAATAATATTAAATCTCTCCTGTGCCACAGACTGCTATGTCCAACTCCAAGATCTGAAGTGCCTGAGAGGTCCAATGGAATATACTCCTCTTCCTTCTGCATTCTCCATCTCTAGGAACTTTACCCCCTCACCCAGCTAACCAAGTCAAAGACTTAGGAGTTCCTAAAACTTACCCTTTTCCCTCAACCTTCATAATCAACCACCTACTAATCACCAAACCCTGCACATGCCATCTCCTATCATTATAGTTATCCCCTCTGCCCTGGTTTAGACCCTCATCATCTGTCAGCTATACCACTACAAAACAATACATAACTATCTCCTTATATAACATACAAATTTAATTGAGTCTGTGTTCCACTTAAACCCTTCAATGATTTCGTAACATCTAAAAGATTTTATCAATTTCTGGTTTGATTTTTACTTTACATGCATTTCACCTTTACTTTGTTTCATAATTTTGAGAAAACTGATTTGTTAAAAGGCACATTGTAATATCCACAGAAATCACAAGGTAGAAAGTGTTAGGGTCTTGTTTTTTGAAATAAACATAATATTAAAGTGAGATAAATTTTATTAGTGTACTACTAAAAAATTATCAAATGTACCACCTGTGGTACACATAACACACCATGGAAAATGACGACACAGGAAAAAGCTGAAATTCTTATGCAGGGCATAGAAGGCCCTTCACACTGTAATTTGATATGCTCCCCCAGGCCATCCTATGTGAGAACCATACTCTACCACCGCTGATTTCCAGACAATGCCATGTTCTTGACCTTCTGTACTCTGGCCCAGGCTGTCGCCTCTGCCTGGAATGCCCGCACTTGTATCTCCCAGATACAGTCATTGCCTTCCTTTTTTATTTTTCTTCTTAAGATTTAAAAAGAATTTTTATTTTTAAGTAATGTCTACACCCAACATGGGGCTTGAATCCACAACCCTGATAATCAGGAGTGGCATGCACCACTGACTGAGCCAGCCAGGCACCCCAGATACAGTCTTTATCTTTAGCCCAATTCAAGATTACCTCTTCACTCCTCAAGAAAGACTTATGTGTACCTTGCTTTACACTGGATTGCGACTTATACATGCCTCCATTATATCCTTCATCACATTATCATATCCACTACAGATTACACTGTGATATTATTTTTTATGCTTTTCTTTTAGATCATAAGCTCCTTGGGGGCAGAATCCATGCCACTTTATCTTTAGATTTCAGTAATATAGTCCCTGGCAAATAATAAGCAGAAAGCTTATTAAATTAGTGGGAACACAAAAGTTTTAAACTATAGAATGTCAATGAGCTAGTAAAGTTGCTTGATATTCCAATAGACAAATAAGCTAGAGGCCCATCTATTCATCAATAGGTACATTAAATTGTAAGATGCTCTTATAAGGACTTCTAAGGAAGCTACTACTACCTCTTTGTTCTTTGGTCAATACTTGAAAAGTGTTTAATCATTCATTCCTTCCATGTGTTCAGCCACTTGGCACATGTGACTTGAATGCATCTATTGCCTTCTGGCGTAAGCTCAGTTAGCAAAATAATGAGCAGAATCAGAGCCATTTAAATTAGTATCTCTTTTTCTCTCTTTTTCCCCCTAAGTTTTAATAGAGCATGCAAAGTTGAATTTGGCAAATAAAAAATACATGTGTACATATTAAATAAAAATGATGTTATTCACTGTGTACTTTTAAGGCACACCTAAAAAACAGGATTTTGTTTGCCTTTTTCCTTTTTAAACTCCTATTTTTTTTTCTCTCCTCAAATGAAGTAACTATTATTCTAAATTACTCTTCAAAAGTCATCTGTAAGCTACTGACAGGTGGAAGCTTGGTACCAAAGTGACAGCTCTTCACAATGTATGAATTGGTCATACCACCTTATAGCTTTGAAAAATTCATTATCTAGTTCCAATGATTTTGCAGTTCCTATTGTCTTTAATTTCACCTTCTAGTCTCCTACGTTTGAGGATGATTTAAATGAAGACATTATACTGCTGCAGTTAGTGATCCCAGCTTAAGCTAACATTTAATCATTCCTGGGGCTGCCAGTGTTAATTCAATTGCAATGCGTGAACAGATACGTTTTATGCAAGGCTAAGTTTGTACATGTGTAAGCAATGACAAATTCATAATTTCCTGCTTGAAAAGTAAGTTTCGGACACAAGTCTTTGGCTATGTGTCCATCCTGATGACTTTAACCCAAAGGATTGAATTCTTTTCTTGATGTGATCTGAAAAATTCATTAGACATGCAAATGACCATTGTTTGAAGCCTGAAAATGGGCTCCAGGGTGGCTCAGTTGGTTAAGTGACTGCCTTCGGCTCAGGTCATGATCCTGGAGTCCTGGGATCGAGCCCCACATCGGGCTCCCTGCTCAGCGGGGAGTCTGCTTCTCCCTCTGACCCTCTTCCCTCTCGTGCTGTCTCTCACTCTCTCTCTCTCTCAAATAAATAAATAAAATCTTTAAAAAAAAAAAAAAAAAGCCTGAAAATAATGGAGCCAGATGTAGAAGAATTTAGGTTTTGAGCAAACAAGAATTATCATTAAAAAAACTGTAACTTATAACACAGGCACATTTAATACTCCTTTTTCTGACTATGGGTATTCACTAGTTTAGGATGTACCTTTACTGTGACATTGAGCAGGGCTACTGTGAGCAATCTGCTTGTTCTTTTAATAAAAAAATCACACTAAGGGGTGTGGGTGGCTCCGCTGTTAAGCGTCTGCCTTCGGCTCAGGTCATGATCCCAGGGTCCTGGGACTGAGCCCTGTCTTGGGCTCCCTGCTCTGTGGGGAGCCTGCTTCTCCCACTCCCACTCCCCCTGCTTGTGTTCCCCCCCCTTCTCTGTCAAATAAATAAATAAAGTCTTAAGAAAAAAAAAAATCACACTAAGATCCAGACCCTCAAGGCTACAATAAAGGGAGGATTTCCAGGTGAGAAAGAGTAGCTGGACCTCAAAGCCCTAGATCTTGTCCTTCTGCTGTCAACTGAGAAGGATTTGGGAATACTTTTAATAAGCAAGCTAGTGTGCATTCTTAAATCAGAGAAAATCTCATAGTTTGTTCATTGTAATAATAAATCGTGAAAATTCGTGGCCACTGAAATTTTAAATTAAGTAGACAAATGCCTTGATATATAAACCACATCTCTTTCAGTTAAGCTGCCTGTAAAGGCAAACTCCATCTAACAGCACATTTTCCTATCTCAGGGAAAATAAGAGGTAAAATACTGCCGCCTATGAAGTAGACTGGAGTTTGGTGGGCACTTTGGTGAGCTGCATTTCTGCTTCTATAAAAATTCAGACTGTTGGGGCACCTGGGTGGCTCAGTCGGTTAAGTGCCTGATTTTGGCTCAGGTCATGATCTCAGGGTTCTGGGATCGAGCCCCACGCTGGGCTCCCCACTCAGCGGGGAGTCTGCTTCTCCCTCTCCCTCTGCCCCTCCTCCCACTCATGTGCTCTCTGATAAATAAAATTTATATTTATTATTTATTTGAGAGACAGAGAGTGCATGTGTGCAGGAGCACAGGGAGGGGGAGGGGCAGAGGGAGAAGGAGGAGAAGCAGGCTCTCCTGAGTGGGGAGCCCTATGTGGGACTTGTTCCCAGGACGCTGGGATCATGACCTGAGCTGAAGGAAGACGCTTAACTGACTGAGCCACCCAGGTGCCACAATAAAGAAAATATTAAAAAAAAAACAACAACAACAAAAAACTGAGACCACAATCGGAAGAAAGAATACTAACTTAGAAATGGTAAATTAGACTCACTGGTTTACTAAATTAACATGAAATGTTATCAAGAGCCCAACAGATTGTAGAAACTTTTGAACAAGTTCAAAACAAATTTCCTTCTTGTCTTTGTGACTGATTTTGGTTAATTAATTTACCTTGAAGTAAGAAGGAAAAAAAGATAAAAGAAAAAATTCAAGGATCTAGAGGCAAGCATGTTAATATAACTCCCCTTTGGAAGACTTATAGGGCAGATGGGCAAATGACTATAAACTGTATAATCTTGGTGAGAAATTATATTAAAAAAAAATTTTTTTTAAAGATTTTATTTTTCTGACAGTGAGAGAAACAGTTCTCGAGACAGTGAGAGGGAACACAAGCAGGGGAGTGGGAGGGGGAGAAGCAGGATTCCCGCGGAGCAGGAAGCCCGATGAGGGGCTTGATCCCAGGACCCTGGGATCATAACCTGAGCTGAAGACAGACACTTAACAACTAAACCACCCAGGCGCCCCAGAAATTCTGGTTTTATAGTAATTTTCAATTCAAGACTGCAGCATTACTAAGCCAGACCAACTCAATACCAGTATACTTTTTTTTTTTACCAGTATACATTTCTTAAAAAAACAAAAAAACCCCACAGCCCTAAGCATGCGTTATGATAAATTTTAAATTTCAATTGAGATGAAACTCTCAACAAAAGATCTCATACCACTGCCTATCCAGGATTACCTGTCCTCCACAATCTTACATGAGACCCAATTCCTTTATGTCATTTCCCCAACTCCTCCAGGCCATCCTGAGTTTTCTGATCTTTCTTATGCTTATTGTATCAATCCACTTTTTTTGTTTTAATACTTGTTTTATTAAAAGAATAAGCTATATTATGGTTTCTTCTGTATAAATCTCATGCCTCCAACAGATTACAGGCTACCAGAGAGCCAAAACCAGCAGTACTTTTTGTGTATTCAATACAGAGTCTATTAATTCATTCAATAATAGTTATCTTACACCTACTGCATGCCAGGCACTGTGCTAGGAAGTGGGGATCCAATAGTGAGAAAAACAGATGCTATAAGCCCTAACGGAAATTAGAGTTTAAAGGGCAAGAGGCACTAATCAAATAAAAAGAATGTAAAATAGTAACTATGATAAGTTCTGCGAAGGAGAGATACCCACTGCTGGTAGAGCATATAAGCGAGGGGACAGAAAGGCAAAACCCAGCAAATATCAAGAACTGAAGGGTAAGCAGGAGTTAACTTGGGGTGGCTCTTCAGGAAGGGGAATCAGAATGTGTATGGTTTTGAGGCAAGAGGAGGCAACGTTTAAGAACTGGGGGAAAATCACTATAGCTAAATCAGAGTGAGTAAAGGTGCATAGCTGGAACATAACCCATTCTTACCTTTGTTAATAGTTCTCTGTTAATTTTGAAATTTACAGTCCCTCGACCAGTGCTGATTTCACTCACCACTGTATCACATTTTAGCTGAAAAGATAAAAAATCAAGTAAAATAAGTATAAAACAGGTATAATGAGATTTGTAGTTTTAATACTATCAAACTGGAGTCCAAAGGCAGCAGGTGCATCATATCTCTTAGTCATTATATCTGGACGTGGGCCTTAGCCAATCTGTTCAATTCTATCACTCTGACAAATTTCCTTCTTTTCCAGCCTAGAACACTATTCTGTATTCAGAATCTCTTCCTCTTTCCCATTCCCTCACTTCAAATTCTCTAACACGGAAGGAAGCCAGCAGCACTCCACCTCCATCTTACGTGCCCTGACATGCAGTGAACTCTTTGATATCTCACCCACCTTGCACAAGAGCCACAGGACAGGCCATTCTGCTGGGCCCTACACTGCAGCACCTGTACCCACACATAAAATGGAAATCATTTAAATACTTGGTCTTCAGTGAATATACCTTAAAATTTTAACCAACTAGATTTCTAAGCACCTGATATACCCATGAAACCTGAAGAGATACCTGTGGTCACTGATGAGTCACTAGTCTTTATTTTTGAGAACTCACAGGAGATGGGGGAAAGAGAGAGGCTAAATACTGTAATTAGAAAAATTCTACTCCTGGTATACTTCCTGATAAAAATCTGGGTTGATTTTCTGCTCAAATAAATATTTACTCAGCCACCAAATCTCTTTGATTATACTCATTCTTTACACATCTTTTTCTATGATAGTGGTTTTCATTGTTCCAATCCTTCAGTGTGCCCAGTAGCCTGTGTGTCACATGTAATAACCTTACTTTAAAAACCCTGTTTTTTATGGTATTACACTAATAATTCTCTATAAACCTTTCAACTCCTCTTATAGACACCAAACCCATCAGACAAATTAGAAATGAAAGAGGTTTATTAAATCATCTAGCCACTTCTCTGCAATCATGATTCTATTTACATCTAATCATTTTTCTCATATTTTAATGCTCATCTTCTCAGAAACTCATTTTAAAAATTGCAACCCATTGCTAATTTATCAAGCTTGTTCTCTTAAATTCAGAAGTCCATCCAGCTTCAATCTGTAAATTTAATTAACACATCAGTCCTCCTGTAAGTAGTTAATCAAAAAATTGAACAATGTCAGCTCAAGAGGAATGCTTTATAACTAATTTGAAAAATCATCTTAACCTATAGCACATGGCTAAAATGAATTTAAATTTTATTTTCCAAGGTGCCTTGAACAACAACAAAAAAAAACCCCACTATTAAATTCATTATTATGCCTGGGACAGCCTGCAGAGTTTTTTCTTCTTTAAAATAGTAAGTTTGTTACAATGTCTAAAAAAAGATAACAGTGCTGAAGTACCTTCTCTGCCAGTCTTGTTGCTTGAACTTGAATATCTGGTCTTGAATGGTCACTGTTGTTTTCCAATAGAGAATCCACACAGAGCTGAAAATCAGCTACTTCTCTAAAGACAGAAATTGAAATAGGAAAAAGCTATTGTCCTTAAAAACATTACTAGTGTAACAACAACAAAAAAGACTAACCACTATGGATTCTCCACATGGATACAATTTTATCAAAAGGAAAAGGTTTTGCTTTCAAAATATAAAGCAAAGAAATTAGAAATATCAACTTGTATTTATTTAGAACTTCATCTTATAAAGTTCTTCCTCTTCTATTACCTAATTGTAACTTTACAATATCTCTATGAGATAGGTAGTTCAAAGCGTAATAAAAATTTTAATTGATGTACAAACATCTACATAATTACCCACCCTGGAACATCTTCTGACATTTAATAGGGAACTAGAGAATGAGACTTTATGGGCAGAATATGTGGATTAAACCACTGTCTTGTCTAATCCATTGTCACTGACACAAAAAGACATATTTTAGAGGGGGTACAAATGACTTCATTCTTATCAATCTTGAAATTCAGGGACATGCCTAAAATATCCTCTGATATCTATTTCACATCACATTAAACTTCCTAGTCAACAAAGACCATTAAGAATTTTCTTGAGCCTTGGGGCACATGGGTGGCTCAGTCAGCTGGGTGTCTGACTCTTGATTTTGGTTCAGGTCATGATCCCAGGGTTCTGGGATTAAGCCCCATGTGTTGGCTCCATGCTCACATGGCGCCTACTTGGGATTCTCCTCTTCCTCTCCCTCTGTGCCCTCCCTCACCCCTGCCACCCCACTGGTGTGTTTTCTCTCAAAAATATGCATATATTAAAAAAATAAACTTTTCTTGAGCCTTAATACATTATCCACAACCTAGTGTGGATTATGCTTAACAACTCAAACTCATCTAATGACATTTGAGCTGTAACTTCAGACCCAAGTACATCTATTAATCAGTGTCTGTGTGATCTTGAATATTTTGCTAACCTCTCTTGTACCTTAGTAAAACGGGGATGATCATAGTACCTACTTCACAGTGTTGCTGAGAAATTAAGTCTTGGTTAAATAATACTAATCCTAGTTCTGATGTTAAATAAAAATGTTTAACAGTCCTGAGTCCTGAGCCCTGGGGACATACCAATTCAATTCTTACACGACAATTAATTTTTTAAAGATTAACTTTAATTGTGGAAATTTACATAAGGTTTGAATGTATTTATTGTATTTATTCTTACCAAAGGACTGACGGTTTAGCCAAGTATTTGTGCCAATAATGTGGGAAACTGAAGAAATTAGTTTAACAAAATAAGAACAAGACACGAACACACAAGGACTTTTAAAAAATTTAAAAGTAGTAAGAGCAATAACAAAATTAATTGAAATTATATAGATTTGAATATACCAAAGATTAAATTTTTGACAAAAAGCTAGGATACTTTGTACGAGGTGCAATATGACCATAAACCTATAGGATGGTTCTCAAACATCCAGGAAACACAAGGAGGTCACATGGTTTTCTATAGTTATCTGTAATTTTATTCTAGACAATAAACAAATGCATTTCAATTAAAAAATTTTATCTTAACAGAATCACAAGTACTTCCAATTTGTTCAGTGGTAGAAGGACAAATAAAAAAAAATCACCCATTTAGTCTATTAACAATAATTAACACCAATTTATTAAACTAGGAATATTTCAAACATGAATTCTGAAATTATATGAAGGGTTATTTGACAGCAAGGAAAGCCCAAAAGAGAAATAAACGCTTCAGGGAGATGGGGGTAGATCAACCAGACTTGACCTACTTCCCAGTTTTCCCTTTTGGGAGGTTTTAGTTACATATCTACAAGGAACTTTTGCTTTGTCTGTTTAAAGAGGTAATTGTTGAATGTAAATTATGTAAAAAGTCAGAACAAAGCAATCTAAATGTCCATCAACAGAGGAGCATTAGAGTATTATTTAGCTATTGTTAAAAGAGCTATTTACCAAAAAAGAAAGATGTCAAGGGGAAAAGGGTTCAAAAATCATACATACAGTAGTTTTATAGCTATGTTTTTTTATTATTATTATTGTTTTTTGAGAGAGAGAGAGTGCACACATGAGCGGCGGGGAAGGGTGGAGGAGAGGGAGAGAGAGAATCACAGCAGACTCCACACTCAGCCTGGAGCCCAACATGGGGCCTGATCTCAGGATGCAGAGATCAGGACTTGAGCTGAAAGAAATCAAGAGTGGGACACCCAACCGACTGAGACACCCAGGTGCCCCTCTAGCTATTTTTTTTTTTAAAGCTGTAAGACACAATCAAAGAGAAATATGAAAAGTACATCAACTTGCTAAACATATTAGGGATGTTTTTCCTTATTCTTCTATATTTTCCTGATTTCCTTAAGATTAGGTTTTGCTTTTGTGATAGAAAAATTAACTTAACTATCAAAATAATCCATTGTGAGGAAGGAAAGTGGGTAGGGGTACAGACAAAAAACACAACTGCTGTGTGCCAATAACAGTGAGTGATGGCACAAAGGGGTTCCATAAACTATTCCATCTACTTTCATATTGTTTATTAGAAAAAAAAAGTTTAAAAAACAATAGCTACTTTTCCACTACTTCTGAGGAGTTGTTGTGGTGTTAAGAGTGAAATCCACAGACTTGAGTATTACTGGCTGGTAACAAAGTCATTAATCCTGTCTACTACGATCAGTATTAAACAGGAATTCCAGCATAGTTGATAATATAATCCAGAAAATTAGGAGGCCTGAATAAATTGATTCATAGGACATTAAATAAACCATATTAACAAAAAATTCTCCTGAGGTTAACAGCATTTTAGAATAAAGTGAGAAATACAGAACAGTTAGGCTTTGTTTTTGTACTGCAAAGGACGTCTGAGTTTATTATGGCACAACAGTAGAGATTCTTTTTATTTTAAATCAATTTAATAAGCAGAATTTTAGACCTGTAGCCTAGAAAAATTTTGAGATCCTCCCTAATATTTATTCTCTATAAAACAAAAGTATAGTGAAGTATGGTATCATTAAAGTAGAACTGCCCAAAGGAGCTCCAGGCAGGAAAAGAAAATCTTTTGCGAAAGATGGGCCAAGGGGCGCCTGGGTGGCTCAGTTGGTTAAGGGGCTGCCTTCAGCTCAGGTCATGATCCCAGGGTCCTGGGATTCAGGCCCGCGTTGGGCTCCCAGCTAAGCAGAGACCCTGCTTTTCCCTCTCCCTCTGCCTATCTATGCTCTTCTCTATCTGTCAAATAAATAAATAAAATCTGAAGAAAAAAAAATGGGCCAAGAATGTTCAGCTTATTAAAGGCCTCTGAAACATAAAATAAAAACAGATATTTTCATTATTATGCAAATTGCCATTTACAGATTTTATGAAACAGGTAACTGGCTTGGAATATGACATTAATTGATGTGTAATTATGAGATCCCCTTGGTCTGTGGTTGCCTTTTTTTTTTTTTAAAGATTTATTTATTTATTTATTTGAGAGAGAGAGAGAGAGAGAGAGAGAGAGAGCATGAGAGGGGGGAGGGTCAGAGGGAGAAGCAGACTCCCTGCTGAGCAGGGAGCCTGATGCGGGACTCGATCCTGGGACTCCAGGATCATGACCTGAGCCGAAGGCAGGCGCCCAACCAACTGAGCCACCCAGGCGCCCTGGTTGCCTTTGTTCTTAGAACTCAGTGTAAAGTAAGTTGCAGCAGGCCACTTTAAAGATGCTTTCTTTCAACAAGGGCACATGTAGCAATGTAGCCTTTCTCTTCCTCTTCCATTTACCTCTTTGTCTATTCTGGGAACAATAATATTCATCCTACACTCTCTTAAAATCCTGACAAAGTTAAGGAGACAAAATATTAGGACATAATGGTACTGATAATTATATCTTTCCAAAACTTGGGGCTTAAATGCCTACTATGTAGCTTATTTCTTGTCATTATTAATTGACTGAGAGGGCGTTTTATCCAAGTACTGAAATTTTTCTAGCCAAATGGTAAAGAAGTATCAATTAGAAGGACCAATCTCACAAAGAGATACCTTCCTGTATCCAAGAAAGCAACTAAGGGTTATATGTAACCAATAGTTATCTATCACTAGCAGTCCTCAAATGGAATCAAACAAAAACCCCAAAACCACCAAAAAACCTAGCAGGTAAATATAGTACTATAGTATTCAAGCATCAGATAGGTGTATCACCTCTAAAATCCCTTCAAAAACCCTGAAATTCCAGCTGCAATCCTAGTCCTTTTATTTGCTGTCACAGAATTAAATTTTGACCTTGTTCCTAATTTTTCTTAAAGACTTTGCCATAATTGTCATTAACAGCATAAACATCAAACAACATAAAAGTACTAATTTAATGTGCCATATCAGAGTAGGTAAAATACAGATTTTAATTTCATTATTTAAGTGAGTGGGAGTAATAGGTTACAATATATTTTATAGTTAATTTTAAGGTCTATTCTGTAAATTGAAGAACGATTTTTTGCATATTGACAAAGTCAGCAACATTTCAAGTTGTTACAAATACTTAACTCTTTCCTGGAAATTGGAACTGCAGATATTGACTTGATCAAGTTTTCTGGTGGAAGATCCAACACTCTGGAAAGCTAAATAATAAAAAAATAAAACAGAGCAAGATTGTCAATAATCCATACCAGATTTAATGGAATACTACTCATCAATAAAAAAAATATTCAGATATTTAACTTAAATGAGCCTCAAATGCACTATGCTAAGTGACAAAAACCCAACTCAAAAGGCTATATATGATCTTATTTACTTGACATTCTGGAAAACCCAACTATGAGAGAGAATCTTAAGCAGGCTCCAAGCTTGGTGTGGAGCCCCATTCGGGGCTCAATCTCACGACCCTGAGATCATGACCTGAGCCGAAATCAAGATCAGATGCCCAACCAACTGAGCCACCCAGGTGCCCCATAGTATATGTTGATTTTTATTTTTATTTTATTATTTTTTTTTTTAAAGATTTTATTTATTTATTTGACAGAGAGAGGGAGAGAGAGGGAACACAAGTAGGGGGAGTGGGAGAGGGAGAAGCAGGCTTCCCGCGGAGCAGGGAGCCCGATACGGGACTCGATCCCAGGACCCTGGGATCATGACCTGAGCCGAAGGCAGACGCTTAACGACTGAGCCACCCAGGCGCCCCATATGTTGATTTTTAAATCTAAATCTCAGAGTACAGTTCTTTGTTCTTTTGTTTTTTTTAATTCTAGTCTTTGGGAACTACATTACTTAAAGCCCCTACAAAATGGTTATTTCCTTAGGTCATTTCCCTATAAGTGGATAAACATTTCCAATGCATTTATAGAATAGAGGCTATAACAGTTCATGTTTATACTACAAAATGTTCTTGCCAATCTAGGTACACCAATAATACAGGTTCTATCATAATTTCTCTTTAAAAAAAAAAAAGGATTCAAATTTCCAGTTCCACTTTTACTAGCTATGAGTCACATATGAAAAATGGGGATTAACCCTGTTAAACGAGGGTTCTTATAAGGACTAAGAAAAATGTGTCACATGATGCTAATATTATCTTCTTCCTTTAAAATTAAGATTTTATTTTCGACATAATGTCTCCCAAACTTAGCATAACCACTAAGATTTTATGCCTATCTTAAATATAACTAAAGTCTGCTGGAAAACAAAATGAAACTTAGTTACATTTTTAAAGCTTTTCAGCTGACAAATAAGTTTTGAACTTCAGTAGTAAAATATTTACATTCAAACGAACAACACACAAAAAAATTCTGTTTCCAATATAAACTAAAAACTACTTAAAAATTGCATATTTAGGTTAAACGCCTGCCTTTGGCTCAGGTCATGATCCCTGGGTCCCTGCTTGGCAGGGGAGTCTGCCTCTCCTTCTCCCTCTCCCTCTGCCACCCCTCCCCCCTCCCCCCTTTTTCTCAAATAAAATCTTTAAAAGAATTGCTTATTTCTTGGGGTGCCTGGGTGGCTCAGTCATTAAGTGTCTGCCTTCAGCTCAGGTCATGATCCCAGGGTCCTGGGATCAAGCCCCACATTGAGCTCCCTGCTCAGCAGGAAAGCCTGCTTCTCTCTCTCCCACTCCCCCTGCTTGTGTTCCCTCTCTCACTGTGTCTTTCTCTGTCAAATAAATAAATAAAATCTTAAAAAAAAAAAAGAATTGCTTATTTCTTTTATTATATCTCATTTGCTCCAAAAAAGGCTCTGAGGGAAATTAACACATAAAAATAAAATGGACGTGTAAAACCATACCAGAAAACCTAAGGTAAAGACAGTTACTTTGCTTTCTGGCAACCAAGGTACAAAAAGGAATCTAACTATATAATACAGTGCTGCCTGGCAACGAACTTTTCCTAAAAGTAAATTCTAAGACGGAGTTATATTCACAAAGATTTAAATACCAAAATAGAAAATATCTTCAATAGTAGTTTTCCAAAGGCACAGAAACATTTTATAAAAATTTTATAAAATAAAATATAAATTAGAAAATTAGAAAACCAAAATAAAGAGACTGAGACAAAAGGAGAAATGGAGAGTCACTGTTTACAATGAGCACAGAGTTTCAGTTTTACAAACGAAGAGTTCTGGATAAGGTTGGTGGTGATGGTTGCATAGCAATGTTAATGGACTTAATGCCATTGAACTGCATATTTAAAAATAGTTAAAATGGTAAATTTTATGTTGTATATATTTTCCCATAATTAAAAACAAATTAAAAAACCTAAAAAGACTGTGGGATGAAGTAGTGGAATGAAGGCTTCTTTACATAATCTCCCACCTCCCACCCATTATCAAATTAAAATGAAAGGGGTGGAAGAAAGAATGGAGAGGTGAAGGAAAGGAAGGCAGGTAATAAATAGGCAGATTGGTTGGTTCTCCAGCAACAAATATAGAGGATAGGCACAGTCCTAAGTCAGAAACTTCAAAAGGGATAGCCAAGGAGACAAACAGCAGTTTCTGAAGAGGAATGGAGCAGCCCTGTTTGGCAAGTCTCCTAACTTGAATGAACAATTCTCATCAATACCCCAAGCTGGAGAGAAAAAAATGAATCCCATTATTTTTTTTCCATCTATGACTGGAGGGAGATGCTACAGAGCTGTGGGAGAGAAGGAGTAAAACAGAGAAGTGAATTCCAGTACTTTTCACAAGTGAAAATTCTAGGGCAGCACACTGAAGTTCTCTCCAATGGAAACACAACACATTCCCCAATTAAATGGAGATCTTGATTTGGTTTTGTATGGGCAGGAAGAATCAGAGGAGGAGCTTTTATAGGAAGGTGAAAAAATATCAGAGCTAGTCAAGCAAAAATTTAATATGCCAGGTCAGAGTTCAGGAGTAATGTATACAGGTCACCAGAACCTACCAGAGAGACAAAAGAGTGGAAAAGCCCTAGAGTTTATGTTTTTGCAATCACAAAAGCAATGTGAGCCAAGAACAAATCTCACATAGAGTGAAGTCACCCACACAATGCAGGAACAAACAGAAAGTGTGGGCAGAAAGGTCAAGCATGAGCAAGATGAAAAATAGGCAAAACAAGTAGGCAAAGTGGGGGAGAGAGGAGAGGGAAGGACAGAAGATCAAAGAACTCGTCTAGAAAAATATTACCAAAAGAATACAAAGACATTCATCAAAAGTGCTTCAAGATTTGTGAATGCAGTAAGAACTGAAAGACAGAAAAAGAGATAAAAGGGAGTCTAAAAATTAAATAGACAAATTGATAAACATTTTTTATTATAGAAGAACACAAAGGAACATTCATAACTGAAAATAAATGACACAGAGGCCTATGATAATCAGAGAACAAAGATTTTAAAAAACATAAATTGAAAGCAATCGGAGAAAGATAAATAAAATTGGGTACAAGATAATCCAACCTTAGGATAACTGGTGTCCCTAAAACACAAAAGAGCAGGAAAGAAGCAAGCAGACAGGTAGATACAATGGTTCTCCAGCAGCATATACCATAACGATTAAAGAGACAAAACCCAAACACTCTTCAAAAGTGATAGCCAAGGAAAGATGCAGAAGGTTCTGAAGCAGAATGGGCAGTCTTGTGTAGCGCAGGGCTTCTTGGTCTCTCTTGTCAGAAGGTATAGAGATGAAGCAACAAAACCCAGGAAAAATAAAAAGTATTCATATATACAGATCTTGGCTCCCCCCAAAAGCAAAGCCTGAGGAAAGAACTTTGTGCAGGTAGTTTATTTGGGAGGTGATTCCTGTGGGCTTAAGTGATAGACTGAGAAGCGTGGGAAGGAAGGAAGAAAAGTTAAGATTGTGCTGTCAAGTTTACTGCTATAGGCAACGGGGCCTTAACTGCCACGGTACCTTCTAAGAAGCACACACAAGGTCTACCAAAATGGTCTATTCAAAAAATAGGAAGCAGAAGCTTCCATTCCCCATTGATTGACAGGGTGTTAACTGCCTCATCTGAGCAGAGTATAGGCTGGAACCAGCAGGCTTTTAGACTAGATGAAGTGCTATTAGCAGTAAGTGATTCGAAGCACATGTGAAACTGGTCACACAAGTGGCAGCTAGAACCAGAAGTGTGACCAAGGTGACGGGAGGGCATAATAGTCAATAAAAGGGAAAATTTCCCTGAAATAAGGAACCAAATTTAAATTGTGGTATATTGCTACAATGACACCCAACAGTAAAAGGACTAGACCTCCATGCATCATTAGGGATATATCTTTTTTAAAAAATTGAGGCTAAGAAACAAAAAACCCAAGTTGCAGAAGGATGATTACACCTTGACAACCACTTACATATATTTTATTAACTTGTAAAAGAATACTATTTAGACATACATGCATAGATAGAAGTGACATGCACAGATATAATAATACAAAACCTCACATGGGAGGAAAGAGTTTGCAGCCAGGGATGGGTACCCAGGAGATTTGAATAGTAATAGTTTATTTTTTAAGCTAGGTGATGGGTACATAATAACTATACTTTTCTCCATGATTAAATATTTTGTTAAAAAAAGAAAAACTGAAACTACAGATCAAAATAAACTACTATGTCAGGAAAATATAATTTTGAACATTCAACACTGAGATACATCCTGCTTAAGTCATGAAATTTCAAAAATAAAGCACCCAATCAAGAAAACTCCAGGGATGAAATAAATGCACTTTACTTTGCAGCCATATTACCTAACCACAAAGATCACGATCTGGTTAAAGTAAATAATTTAGCAATGATATTATGTAGGACTAGATTTTTCACAGAAGTTGTAAACCGATATGTTTGTTTCACCTGCTCAGCTGTTTTTTAATCTGAATTGCCAACATATGAAAATTAATAAATTTTAAGTAACACTGGATCGTTGTATGCATTTGCATCTGTAGTATCCGTATTTGGAAAATTCAAATTCAGAACTAAATAATCTGGTGTTACTGCCTTATTTCTAAAATGAAAATTTTTGATATTACTTCTAAACATGTGAATTTTTTTTTAAAGATTTTAGAGGGAGAGCGCGCGTGCACACGTGGGGGGAGGGGCAGATGGAGAGAAGCTGAAGCCGACTCCCCGCTGAGCAGAGCGTCCCATGTGAGGCTGATCTCAGGACCCATGAGATCCTGAACTGAGCCGA